GAGCTGCGGGAGCCTGCTATGAAAAATTCATGCCAATGGTTCCACAGTCCCACCTATGTCCTTAATATCTGCTGGCCCCACGAGGCATTCAAACTTCAAAGTGAGCCCAGCCCTGAGACGGCAGCAAGCTCCCAGAGATTTCAGAGAAGGCCCTTCCTCCTGACAGGAAATATCTGTGCAGAACAGACTGCGCCCTGTCTGCCCGACCATCCACAGAGGAGGAACCGAACAGACCATCACACCACCCAGTAAACACACACACAACAGTCGACGGTCCTGTCAGCTCTGAGTTCACTTTCAACAGTCATGCTCCTTTTATGTGAAAGGTAAACCCTCTTTGTCTTTTGTGTCCCAAAAACTTCAAGTGCAGTCAAAATATTTCACAGGTGAAAAGGAGGTGTGGTTTTGGATCTCTCGAGCACACAGCTGTTAGAGGAAGCAGGTGGCCTCCTCCTGGTCATTGGCAAACAGCATGTCACTCGTACAGATGTCTGGAGACCTGGTGAAGCCCTGGTTACCACTCCACTCACACTCCTATCTGTCTCTGTGGATGGAACCATTTATTGTTACACTGGAAAGCTAGACGTGGGACCACCAGACACTCTCCAATTTTAGATTAATTACAGTACAATCTGCTAGGAATTTGATTTCCAGTTTCCTGCCACCCCAGTCATGTCACTACATAAAAGTGTCCGACTTTATTCTCCCTGATGCAAAGACAAATTTATCTTCGTTAGATGGTAATTGGCTGTATTATCTTTTGACTCATCAGAAATGCTGGCTGGCAAGTTTTAAAATTTTTTAATTACTCTTATGTGGTACTTTTTACAAAGTGTACGTCAGAAAGAAAACAAAAACAGTCAGCGACTGCAGAGCATGTCGTATCTTACTACCAGGACACGCAGGTCTTGGGGATACCTAATTTCATAATAAATCAAGTGGGGTGAGAGGCCCTTCTGGTTTCACTGTCCAAGACGCTGGTGGTGAGGTCTTGAACTACAGCCTCCAGGGTCAACGCCACCGCTGTGGCCCACACAGGAGCCCAACGGAAACACACAGTTCTGGGTCTTTCTGCAGATTTATCAAGAGCTCTGATCTTTGGAGGCTTTGAAAACAGAACGCTTTGTGACAAACTGTGTAATTGGGTGCCACCTAACATTTAGCTAGATCCAGATGCCGGCAGCAAGGTTGTGCTGAGAATTAAAATAAGGCCGTTCCCTGTGCCCGTGTGCTGCTCACATGTCACCTGGTGACAGGAGAAAGCAAAGGACACGTGAGGAGACACAGGGCAGGTTCTCCTAAGGTTTGAAATGAGCCCAGCTCATCAACCTCCTTCCAGCTCCCCTTTGACACATTTTACCTGGTGCCAGTGACAAGCCGGAAGTACCCAAGGGGGACAAAACACCAGCCAGGCAATTATACTACGAGCAGCTTCCAACATAATTCTTTCGTTGGAAGAGAAACCAAAATGATCAAAAAACAATTCTACGTATTTCTCTGATGTCACAGTATTACACTATCACGGAGATGTGTAAATTCACTGTGCTGGTTTTATTGTCTGTTGCCTGTCTAGAGTAGGTGTGCAGGGAACCTCCAGGTACAGAATAGTTTATAACTCTGTGATGTTAGCATCACGTTGACCAGAGTATTTGTAGAATTTTCTTCCCCTCTTTTACTGCACTAAGGCCGACATCCTGGTCCCCAACTCAGAATTCCACCCCTCTGACCCAGGATGGCCGGGATTTCCACACTGCAGGGGAACCCCAGCCTAGACATTCCACACAGCAGTGGGCACTAGCGGCAGTGGTTGGAAGTCCTTGAAATGACCACACTCTGGGATGATGCAGTTTCCATTCTTTGTTTTCACGTCTGAAAGGAAATCGTGCTAAATCCTATTCACTTCTAGTTTCGCCCTGGACCAAGGGGCCCTTACAGAACAGTGTGTCGTGAGCTGGTTCCGTGAACCCTGCAGTTACTGAGCGAGCAAAACTGTCCACAGAGTTACACAGGCCACACGAATTGCCAAAGCCAAGCTCACTCTGTGGTCTTCTTGATGCCGAGTTGGGAAGCAGGATGGCAGAAGAGCACGGGCTACTCAACCACCAAAACCTCTAGAGGGGGCTTGTGAGCATGCGCGGGGCCACTGTCAACACTCTCCTGGCCCAGTGTCTGCCACAAACATCCACCCAGTAAAGTCTACCAGACCCAAGGCAGACCTATCCCTCCAGGACCAAGTGAAGCCAATGCTACCAACTACCCGATGTGGAAACAAAGACGAGCCATTCCTTGAAGGTGTTTTTTAAAAGTGGAAGGTCCACTACTACACAAGCAAACCCACAGACACTCCTGGAGGATGGGAATCATAAGGCGTTGAGATTGGCCGTCTCCCATGGCCGTTTCCCACACCACAGCAGCTTGCATCTCCTACCACGAGGCTTCTCGCTGCACACCCTCTGGGGCCAGGCCCCCCGTCCACGTGCTGATCACGCTAGTCCACGGCCGTTGCTTCTAGGCTCTCCTCCCTTTTCTAGCAGTGAATCCTCACTACCAGAACTTTGGAAGCCTTCATTCAAAGGCCAAACAGTCGAGATCAATTTCATCAAACAGAAGTGGCCTTAAAACACATGTGGGTGTTCTCTTCATGATTCAGGCTTCTCATCAAATCAGACAGAAAAACAATAATCAGCAGGCTGTGTGGAAGAAACATTACTTCATGGGCAGAAGACAACGAACAGACCCTTCACCAAGGAGGGTATTCAGGCGGCCAACAAACACATGAAGAAATGCTCACGATCATTAGGCATTAGAGAGATGCAAATCAAAACAATGAGATACCATCTTGCCCCAGCACTAGTAGCAAAATTCAATAACACAGAAAACAACAAATGCTGGTGAGGATGCGGAGAGATTGGGACTCTCATACGCTGCTGGTGGGATGGTGAAATGATACAACCACTGTGGACAGCAGTATGGCGACTCCTTAAAAAGCTGGAATCAGAAATCCATTTGAACAAGCCATTCCATTACTAGGTATATATCCTGAAGAAGTGAGAACCAGGACAAGAACAGATATATGCACACCCATGTTCACTGCAGCACTATTTACAATAGCCAAAACATGGAAACAACCTAGGTGCCCATCAACAGAAGAATGGATAGCCAAACTATGCTACATACACACAATGGAATACTCTGCAACCCTAAAGAATAACATAGAATCTGCAAAATATTGCATAAAATAGATGAACTTGGAGGGCATTATGCTGAGTGAAATAAGTCAGTCATATAAAGACAAATATTATATTAGTCCATTATTGTAAAAAGTCAAGGAAAAGTTTATATATGGAAGGAAACTTCCTTTGTTGGTTACCAGGGGTGGGAGGGGCAGGAAGGGAACACTGCTAGACAGGTAGAGACAAGTATTGATTTGGGTGATGGGAAGGGCAATGTACCAAATGTGAGTGGCCAGCATGGTGGCATTGATGAAGAAGAAGACATTGAGAGGTACAGACAACAAAGATGAACCCTCTTGTACATACAGTACTACATTGTCAGTGATGGGAAACATTGACATATGGGTGGATAGATGGGTTGACAGGCTGAACAATCAGATATGTCTAGGCAAGGGTAGCATGCCCATGACCATGTATAGGGTTGGCAGACAATGTTTCTACAAGTGTATTTGTATGTTCTGTAAGAATTCCCAGGTATATAGTAGAGCTGACAAGGGACAAGGTTGTAGTCACTTCTTGGCCACAGCCAGCTACCCAGAGGGAGTGAATAGTTGGACCTGTGGGCTTGGGACCATAGTTGCAGGGGACATCAAGCTTAATTGGCATAACATACTACACAAAACATTGTTCCACCTCCTGCTTTGGTGAGTAGCAACTGGGATCTTAAAAGCTTGCAAGAGGCCCTCTAGATGCAACGATGGGTGTCTCCTCATCCAGAGCAAAAAAACAATGAAGAAAACCAAGGATGCATAGAAACAATTACTCCAAGGGACTGGTACACCATGCAATCCTCAGCCTACATAACTATGAGACCAGAAGAACTAGACGGTGCCTGGCTACCACTGTCAGCCACTCAGAGGGGGATCTATGTAGGAGATCCTGGATAGAGAGGGAGAACAATGTGGAACAAAACTCAAAATCATAAAATGACCAAGTTTGCTGGTCTGATGGAGCCTGGTGGAACCCCTGAGATTACAGGCCCTAGCTGCCCTTCAGGTCCAGAACCGAACCCACTCTTGTGGCTTCCAGCCAAACAAAAGACAGGCATATGAGCTGAACATTTACATCAGGTAGATACACTCCTTGGAGAGAATAATCATGGGAGAAAGAAGGGCTGTGTATGCACAGGGAGACAGCTCAGGGGGCAGGAGTGCATGGAGGGAAGGACAGAGGGAAGAGGTAACTATGGGGAGGAGGAAGTGGGCCGAGAGCTGTTGCATTGTGGGGAATTGGAGTCAATGTCGTGAGACAAAGTGTATGTGAACTGCTGTATGGAAAGTGAATTTGCTCCGTAAACTTTCATCCAAATCACAATGAGGATTAAAAAAGAAAAAAGAAACATTGCTTATTTCAACACAACTTAGCATACATGTATCGTGTCGGGAGGATGATACCGGTAGACAGAAAGAACATAATGAGCTTATTCTAGTCACAAATAAGATCCGTAGTCAGATTCTTAGATGTCACAAGATTCTCTGATGTTGTTAACACACGATCAGTGTACAGAACAGAGCATCGTTTTAAATCCCTGCCACAAATACAGTCATGCATTTAGAAATGCCAGCTATGCGCACTATCTGCACACCATTTCCAAGAAAGCAATAGCCTGAACTCTGCTGGTGAACTGTTGGCGTTGGATCAAGATTACGCCGCACCTACTGTACTAGAGAGATAAGATTTATTGTAAAATGCCCCACCAGCCTGCAGCTGTTAATTAATCGAGATTTCATGGCTTTTGGAATCATCACCGGGACTCCGCACACTCACTTGCTATGCTCAGATGGATGAAGGGGCTCGTCTTGTTTTCCCCGTTCCTCTCGTTGACGGCCTGGACGTAGTATGCACCGGCGTCGCCCGGCCCCGCAGCCAGGATCACCAGCTGGTTCTCCAGCGTGATGGCTCTGTTCGGAAAAGCAGAGGACAGTGTCAGACCTCTCGTGGGGCTTCCTGTGTGTAAGACAAAGTCAGTGCAGGTCAACTCTGAAAGAAAGCTCAGAACTTAAAAAAGAAAGGTCTGAAAGGTCAAGTAGCCAGGACGAGTTTAGGGCTCCGTGGTGGTGGACTCCATGGTGGGGGGGGGTGCTTTGCCGGGCAGCTGAAACAGCCCGGCCAGGAGTCAGAGAGCTCCAGGTGTCCGTACCCGTATCCACCCTCGGTGAGGATGACGACACCCCGGGTTGGTTATGACTCTGAGGTTCCTCTGGGGATTCCTGACAAGTTAGAAGACGTCCCAGAAGAACTGCCCCTTCCCCTCCTGGCAGCAAACCTTTCAGATAGAGGCTGGACCATGACGCCTGTGCCAGGGCCGTGAGTGGACTGTGATTCTTGGCACGTGGGCCCTCGTTGGCGCCTCTGTGTGCTGGGTAGGACACTTCCCCATGGGCACTGGGCTGCCCCTCCCGGAGTTCTGCCACCCTCACTAACCCCAGCACCGCACGCTCCCCACCTCCGCAGTCCTCCCACTCCCCAAGTGTCTGCTCGAAGGGCCTTCTCCCCACTGTATTCCCAGGGCCAAAGGGGAGGAGCCCTGGTGGCACAGTGGTTAAATGCTCAGCTGCAAACTGAAAGGCTGGTGGTTCCAACTCACCAGTGGCTCCGTGGGAGGACAGACCTGGCGGCCCGCTCCCATAAATTTCTACTCTGTCCCACGACACCAACAGGTCTGACTTGTTTTTGGTTTAGTGCTAAAAGGAGTCTTGGAGACACATTTGACCCACCCAAGTGCTCTTCAGAAATGAGAAAACCAAAACTTAGGGTGGTTACGGTAGCGTAGTAAGGTAACAGCAAAGGTGGGCCAGTCTCTCGCGATGGCTGCTGTGCTGATCCGAGTACACAGAGACCCTCCTGTCAGGATTTACTGAAAAGAAGGGATGGGGGAGGAGGGAGGAGCACGGGACAGGGGGAGCGAGCAGAGGGGGGCCGCACATAAACTCAAGCAGCTTTTCATTGACAAGGTGTCCAGTGTGCTTTGCGTGTTGTAACACTGTATTTGTTTCACAGTCTATGGAGAGTGCCTGGTGTGCTATGCTTGTTGTAACTGTAATGCTGTATTCTTTTTACAGTCTCATGTAAAGGTGTGGGAAGGGGATTTGCTAGAAGACAAAACAAAATCAAATGTGAGTTCACGATTGCCCTGGTGTGAACTGCACATTCAGGGCGTTGAAACATCATGCCGTCTATCTTAGTCCCCAAACACTACAAGCATCCTGGCCCCGCTAGCGACTGGGGCAGCTCCACAACCACATGGCTCTGCACAGCAGCTGTTCACGCTTGCTGCCAACCCCAGACAACCACAGCCCCTCCAGATTCACTCCCACGAAGCACCCTGGTCTACCGTGCACAGTGAGCACGCTCTTAAAAGGAATCGTAGTATAATAATAATAATAATATGCTTGTCTCCCCAGTACCTTGCAGAAATTTTTTCCCGCACTCTCGATATGACAGAACATTGGTTTAAGAAGCTCCTGCTGACGCCCTGCCCCCGGAGGGTGTACACGGCAGTCGGGGGGCTCTGTGGCTAATGTACCTCATTTCCCATCAATGAAAATTTCCCTGTTAGGAAGTTTTCAATCTTTAGTCTCATAAAAGTAGTTCAAGAGGGTTTTTATGTAATTATTGATGACTCTTTTACAGATTCTGTTACAGAGCCATAGACATCGTCCCATTTAGTTTTAGTATATGTTACACTGCACCTAAAATTAAATATGAATATTTACTGCACATGAAGTTAGATGTTTAACAGTGCACTTCAAAAGCTGAACATATCATTAACGTTTTTCTCAGCAGCTCATTTTTGCCATAGTAATTTCAAATATACCTATTATTTCTTAGACTTATTCTTCAAAATGTCCATTATTTCTGTGTTATTTATGATATTGTTTCAAAAGTATTGAAAAATTTAAAAATCCAATAAAGACTAATATTAACATTTACATTCATTCTAATTTCTACTTCTAAGGTATTTTTTATATTGTTATTTCAGTACAAGCTTTAGTCAAAATTCATGAAGAAAAGCTTATCTGTTGCCAAAAAAGACAAAATGCCAAAACTTGGAAAAACATTAAATAAATAAAGATCTATTTCCCCAGAACAGTTTATTCCTCTTTTCCAATCCAAGTCTTTCTGAACAGAGAATGCTGATAAAAATAAAAGTGTTTTTTTTTTTTTTCAAATCAAAATAAATGATCTAAAGTTGGTAATCGTAACCTCAAATTCCACTGTTTGCTCTAGTGCTTATGAAGGAAAACCATTTTTAAAGACGGTGCAGTGGGGCCCTGTCTCCTCTGAGCCGTCATCCTCACTGACCTGCCTGTGTGTGCCGCTGAGCCCACCCTCCAGCCGCAGCCTCACCCCAGTACCAGGTCTGGTCCTTGACCGTTACACAGCAGTAAAGGTACCCAGGCTCCTTGGCTGGTGACTCATGTCAGTATCCACATGTACGAACAGGAGGAATCGTCTAGGGACCACATTGGTCCTGATTCACATCAGTATCCATGTGTAAGAACAGGAGGAATTGTCTCGGGACCACGCTGGTCCAGTGAGACCAAAGGGAAGGGTCATGTCTGGGGGAGAGATTTCTTTCCACTCCCGCTGGGGGTCAGCCAAGATGCACGTTTTCTTGGGAACATTGGTAGACAGCTTTGCAACCAGAAAGGAAGGGAGTTTGCAGACAAAGGTGTAGGGAGGCAGGGTTTTAGGAATGAGTAGAGCAGACAAGAGATGAGCAGTGGCCGTGAGAAAGTGAGAAAGAGAAACTGACCCTCTTCAGACCCTTACGGATGCTCACCCACAGTCACTGAAAAGGCTACTAGAGTTGTTGCAGTTGACTTCCAACATCTGTTCCTTACCTCCAGCCATTTCACAGTAGCAACGTGGTTTGAGGAATTGACCCCAACTGGTCTATGCTAGAAAGAGCCCTGGTGGAACAGTTATTAAGCGATCAGTTGCTAACCAAAAGGTCAGCAGTTTGAATGCACCAGCTGCTCTATGGGAGAAAGATGTGGCAGTCTGCTTCCATAAAGATGACAGCTTTGGAGACCCCACAGAGTAGTTCTGCTCTGTCCTGCAGGGCACCGTGGGCCAGAACATACTGGTTGGCAGTGGGTTTTAGTTTATGCTGATCACGGTGATCCAATCCTCTTGCCAGTGACTAATTCAGGGACCAGAGCAAGGCCAGCCAGCCCCTGACTCTGCTCTGGTGACTGTCACTGGCCTGCAGTAGTTCACTTCAAAGTGCTGTCACCATACCAAAGACAGAGCTTCCCTTCCATTGTTGATAACAGGCTTTTTCTCTCTCAACTAGATAAGAACAAGGAAGCATGTTGCCTAGTTGTTCCTGCTGGCACTTTTATGGTCAGGAAAGGGAAGAACTTTAGGACGCAGCTGACAGGCCCTTGCTAATCCTAGAGAACATGACAGTACAAGCGTCACACGGTCCTACTGCCCAGCCCGTCTCTAGATGTCCTTCCTCATGCTTGAATATTCTGCAGCCAGGCATAACCTTGTGAAGGAAACATCTGTTACCACAAGTCAAAAGCATCTAGATACAGATTCAAACCACCACGTGCCACAGCACCCATTCTGAGGTTTAAAAAAAAAAAAAAAAAGTGTGTGTGCTCCTGTGCACAGTAAAAAACCCTATATACACATTTCTTTATGTGTGTGTGTGTGTGCACATAAAATGTTCACAGTGGTTAGCTCTGAGTGGTAATATAAACTATTTCATTTGGATTTCTGTATTTTGAAAAATACTCTAATTTTTCCACAATAAGCAAGCATCACCTTTGTTATCAGAAGAACAATTTTCAAAATGAGCGCAAGGGCACGCTAATTAGGGCAGCCAAGTTTAATACTTTGCCTGTAATATGAACTACTTGGCTTTATTATGACACAATCCCAGAATATTAATTTTAAACTTACTGACTTCGCAGGAGTCACTGTATTAACCCACAGGCAGTCCCCTTTATTTGTACCTTACAGAAGAGTAGGCCTCCCTCATCTTAATTCCATGCTTAAAAATGAAATCTCATCATTCTAACTTCTAATTCCATGGGCTAGTGATAAAGAGAGCAGGGAAACAGTGAAGGAACACAGTCCAATGTGGGACGACCAGCCACAGCTCAGCAGGCCAGGAGGCTGGGCTCCTAAGGGCCACAGTTCAGGGCCACACAGCCACTGGGGACAAGCGCAGGAAGTGTTTTCACAAGAGAGAGCGAGAGGGAGAGAGGAGAGAGAGGGAGCGAGGGGCCAGATTTAGACATGATGACATATGTCTGGTGAAGTGTTCAGTAAAAGAACTTTGTCCATAAAACATAGAAGCTTGGTTTTACCATAATAATGTCAAAGTAGCATTTGTTAGCTTCAATTGACTTTAACGTGCATTAAAAAAAAAAAAAAAAAAAAGACACACTGCAGAAAATGCAGAACATTAGTTTTTAAGCCTTCTAGTAAATAAAAACATTTTAAAGACATTCCCCATCTAATGTAAGCACTTTTGAATGGTTGGTTCTAGGGCTTAGTTTCTGACTACTCTAGACTCAAACCTCACAGGTGAATAATAAGTTCAAAGCAGACAACCTCAAACAGATGAACCCTCCTTCCTTCTGTAGTTTCAAGCACTAAAATTACTCCCAAGTCACTCTGGCGATACAGTCCCTGGATGCAGTCACTGTTGGGCACGAGAACAGCATGTTTATTTAGTCAAGAGGTGGCCACTCGCCACTGACCACTGGCTCTGGGTGGAGGAAGAACATTTTAAAGGCGTGAAGAGGAACCGGAGAACCATATTTCATGGAATGTCACCCAGGAGGAATGACCGAGTCGAGTGGGGTTCGTTAACAAACACTAAGCACGGAGGCTCGCTCGGAAGACACCTGGGCAACGGGATGGTGAGTTAGCGCTC